GCTTAATGCTAACGTACGATTGGTTAACAGGGAATTTTGTACAAAACATGATAATTAAGCGGCAACAACAAATAAAACAGCGAGACTATAATTTGTGGACGAAACAATAAGGCATAAGGTAATGGATCTCGAATTTTAACGTGAAAGCCTTTCATCCATTTGGCTAAATAAACTCCTGGCATTATAGCTGATGTCAGTTCGTGATGAAAACCCTATACATATTTCCTAAGTAAGGCAAATTACGAAAATTATTGCGAACTGGATAATAAAAGCACCAGTAACACTGGCTACGGCCAGGTACTACAATATATATACGGATGTTTGGAGAGCGTACATACTCCTACATATGCTTGGTTATGTGCATCATGTCGTTATCCACAAGTAGCATTTTGTGGACTCAACAACCGGAGCGCACATAAACAATATTGAAGCTATGTGTTCGAGGCTGAAAGAGTTTTTAAGACTTTATCATGGCTCTAGATGCCGACTATTCTGTAGCTGTCTGGATGATTTCCTCTACTGCATGCATTACGATTTTAGAACCTCTGAACCTCTTTCTAAACTTGACAAGGTTTTGAACCACGTATAAGAATTGTATCCACTTTATTTCCATGGTTTTGTATAATATATTCTTACTCTATACTGTGTGCTGACTGGCTAATATTTCTCAAGGTCAATTAAGATTCGTTCAAAGGTCGTCCATAAATTAGAGTCTAGCCGATTCATTTCTTATAATAATTGTGACTTAAGGTAATATCGAGGCAATCTGTCCAGGATACACATATGTCAATAATGAAAGACTGATCAATTGCACTCCTAAACATCAATGAAAAATTTTAAACCATCAAAACAAAAAATGAATTTTTAAAAAATATTCTTGAATAATTTTCTAATTATTATTGTTTTTTCACTTTTATGTAACTAGAGTTTATTTAATAGAGGGATAAACAAATTAAGTTTAGTCAATATGACATAATCAAGAAAACACTTCAAATCATTGAATGTTGAATCATTATAACTTAAGTGAATTGTTAATCAATGTGTTGTATACAAAATCAATCACTGATTATTCACTACTTATTTCTAATATAAATAATGAGGAAAATTACTTAGATATCATGAAGTTGAATACATTGTTAACTGTTAGAAAACAACAGCAAAAAAAAGAAATAAGAGAAACGTGTTTTATCATTATGATATAGGTCGCTTATAATCATGTTATTAACGAAAAAAAAAAGAACAACATGACAAACTGTCACGAGGGGAAGATATTTTCTAGAATGTAAATACTAAAATAAATTAACTTCATGAATTTTATTATGATTTAATGGCTAGAAAAAAGAAACTTTCTAATAAGACGACGATTTTATTCAATGTGACTATATGTTTTAAGTTAATTTATAAGCATTTTATTCATTCTATTAGTTTATAGTGTAGAGATGGGATAAAACAAAATGTCTATGTACTTGAAGAAAGAAACATGAGTTGATTTTAGTCTTTTATTATATTAATAATTAGAATTAGAATGGTCATTTGGTGAGACTATAATTTGTGGACCAACCAATCAGGTGTAAGGAAACATGTCTCAGATTTTGGCGCGAAATTCACTCATCCATTTGGCTAAATAGAGTTTTAACATTATAGCTTATGTCAATTCATGATGAAAACTCTAAATCTAATTCCTAACCTTAACCATCAATTGTAAATCATAATTCGAATTCCTCACATTGGTTTATAACCCTCATTTGATTCTAATTATTAGGTGAACATTGTCAAGGTCAATTTAGCTTCGCTCAATGGTCGTCCATAAATTATAGTTGCACTGATCATTCATTTTTTAAGGAATATTCCTTCATTTACAAATATTATTAATTATTAAATATTTAACTGAATGTGATTATTCCTTTTTTTGTTTGGTTTATTTTGCTGGTTATAATTCGTTTCAATTGTGAATAAGTTTGAGTGTTGAAAACTGTCAATCATTTACATAACATTTCATATGTGATTATCTTACTAAATTGTATACAATCTGATATCTTTAATCCATTTTGTATATAATTAGATGGATAGATATAATGCATATATATATAGTCTACTTGGTATACTGGAAAGATATGGTGATTGTACGCTTCTAAATCTGAAACGTTTTACAAGTATCATGATCCCTTAAGAAGATTATAAATTTCATGGAGAAAATTATTCAACCATTCATCTTTTTACTTTACTGATTGCATCTTATATACGTCAACTCTCAAAGTGCCAGATAAAAATGCTGTTTCGTTTGTAAACTATTGTGTCCTATTTGTCATCCTTCTTTTGACATGAAATGTTTCTAATAGATCATGATGCTCTGTTGTGACGTTTATGGTCTACTGAACGGAATAATGTTAGTTGCAAAACCATCGAAGATCAGGAAGCACTAGACAACAGTCTCGTCTTTATGTTACAGGCCTTAGATTAATACAAAACACTCTTCTAGTGCCTCCTAGTTCTGACTGACTGTGCAACTGAGATTAATTTATGATATAAATCATAAAATTCGGTGATCACTTCTACAACTCTGAGCCAGGATACAGTGGTGTATAAGTCTAACTTTAATCAGTCCATAATATTGCGCTAGATCGAAAATTCTGGGTTCGATTCCCGGTCGTGTGGTCCTGGATGGACACTGCTGATAAGTCCCATATTCCGACAAACATGGCTATACATAGCTTCCTGGTTTTGGGTGATTATCTAGGTAAGATCGATTCGTGATTTCAAAAACATTCAAGTCTCTACAACCTTATGCTGACAATGGTTTATATATTGAAGCCTTGAAGTTGCATCTCATTTGATTTTGTTTAAACTAATCAACAATATTTAGTTATAAGATAGAAAAAATAAAGAAAAATGAAATTTGTTTTCTTTGTTTCTAATTTGTACACATTTTTAATAATATATGGTAAGACTGTAATTTATCGACAACCGTTGAGCAACGCTAAAGGATCTTGAGAATGTCCATCTACATACTTCGACGAAATGAGTGTTACAAACTAGTATAAGTAATTAGGATTAATATTTCAGTTGATAGTTAAGGTAAAGAATAAGATTTAGAATTTTCATTGCGAACTGACATTAACTATAATTCCAAAACTATTTAGCCAAATGAATGAATTAGTTTCGAGCCAAAATTCAAAACCTGTTATCGTAAACCTGATTAGTTCGACCATAAATTAGAGTGTCACCGAGTATATTATTGCTGTTCACTTCGGATAATAATAGTTTATATTTATTCTCTTCCTCGTTAAGTATTACTGTCATTATTTCTAAAATGTTTCTTAATCGTTATGTGTCATAGTTTGCTTTATTAAGCAAAGCTATTGTGAAGACATTCTCAGAAATAATATAACTACATTTCTTTGTGCCACAAGAACACCTATGAGTTAGTTACACTTTTTCATTTTTGAGAAAAGAAGTTTAGGAACATTTCCTCTGGAAACATTTTAGTGATTTTAAAACAATGGCACAATATCAATGTAGACCTTAGTTTAAAACTGCATGTATTGACTAAGATGCATGTAAAATAAAGTGTTGATTTTAGAAACGATGATGAAAAATAAGATCAAGTTTTTATTGATAGATACTGAACTGACTAACACCATATTATTTAAATCGAAGGACAAAATGTAGGCTGAAGTACAGTTTATTTATCGATGAAGATATATCAACATAACAATTATACATTTAACGTTTTTCCATCAATTCCCGGCGTATAACTCTTGGTTATATTGCAGTAAACGAGAACACAAATGGATACCATTGAATGTCCTACTGTCGTATGATTTTGAGATGGTGGAGAAGATTTGTTGCTCAGGCTGAGATACAAAATCATCGAATGTATTCGAATACAACATTATAGAACATCTTAATAGAATCTGAGAACCATACAGTAAATACTTAATTTGAAAAATGTCAATCAATTGTCTCAGATTTCATTGTTCCTTCATTTCCACAGAAATATCTCTCTGTTCTCGTTGTCTTTTCCTTGATTTTCACTTTCGACTGATGAAACATACTACTTATGTCTATCGACATCAGTAGCACACACCACAATATATGTAATTTTTTTTATTTTTACTGTTCAACATAAATGTTCTGGACATTGAAGACTGACTTAGTGGTTTTATACTGGTCTTCAAACATCAAGCGAAAAATAAACATTTGTTTTGCTTTAATGTTTAATCAAATTTGCAGATCGATAGTTTACTGAATTAGATGGTCAGACAAATAACAGTTTGAAGTATTTTGTTAATGACGTTTTAATGCTTTGAGCTTGTTCAGCAAATAATAAAATAAATTTTTGATACTTGAGTCATTTTTAACTTTCTTATATCAAACTGTGATTATATTTTTATGATGATTAACATATAGGTTGCGATTCTGTAGTGTAAGAACATTGTAAGTTGATCATTTGCCTTTAAAACAAAACAACGCTGTATTTTTAAATTGTCTGTATTCTTAATTATTTCAAATAGGTAGACTTAAGATAGTTAACCAATCAGTACTCCAAGGTTAAATGACTAATTTTTTTATTTTCCTAAAAGGTTGGATAAGGTATTCTTTCACTTTATATACAAATATTTGTAATAAGTGATGGTGTTTGAAGCTAACTGTATTGGGTTCAAGTCCTTGAGTGAATATCAATTCCTGTATGCACTTAAATCCAACTGAGTTCCACATAGAACAAAACGTGTCTCCTGTATCCCACTACTAGACACTATCCATCTTTACTTATAATGTATGTGACTGAAGACAATATCGAGGCAATCCGCTAACGATGCACATATGCTTATAAGAGACTGATCAATTGCAGTCCTAAACATCAATGGGACGATTCAAACAACGAATACATAGATGAATTATTTTTAATAAGGCATAAATTTACATTGTTATTGAATCAGAATCATATTAACATTTTTATCATTAACCTTTCGTATTATTTTTTCTATATAAAATTTCAGGTCACTTAAATCATGAAGCTAATGATCATGATCTCAGGTAATTGAGTATTGAATTAAAAAACGTTTTCAGTAATATGAACTTTAAGTTTTACCTATAAAAATGTATCTTTTTCATTTTTCGATTATCTAAATGAAGCATTTCTAATCAGCTTAAGTTTATTGTGGATTACTTTGTGACAGTATTAACTGACTGTCGAATCCCAATCGCTTATTCTATTAAATTATGTAGCAAATATATTGATAAGATGCATTTTTCTTCATCCTGTTTTAAGTGTTTTCATTGTTTAAGCTGCCGATATTTTATTACACTGACTAAGTTGTTAATATTACACAATATAGCATGTACATAAATGAAACCACATTCTTATAAAATCTCAGCCATTGAGATAAGAAATAACTTTAGAATTTCATTCGGCTTTCTGGTCTGGACTGTCTTTGGGAAAATAAATAAACTTCACTGATTGAAATCATGCGTCAATTGAAGCTAGAACACCATGGAAAACCTGGAGGCACTGAACGGCTGTTTCGTCCTAGTACGGGACTCCTCATCAGTGCGACCCCACAATCCCACCCCACGTAGGACTCGAGCCCAGGACCTATCAGTCTCGAGCCAGGCGCTTAACCAACTAGACCACTGAGCCGGCATCCAACAGCGTTAATGTCCAGTGCTTCCAGGTTTTCCATGGTGGTCTAACTTCCATTGACTCATGATTTCAATCAGTGAAATTTCTAAAATCTACACAAAACCCCTTCTGAAAATAAATAAACATCAAAATGATCGAATATGAATAAAGTCCACAAGCTAACTGTACTAACTGATTATCCAATAATAATATCTCGATTCTAAATTCACAATTCGATAGTGTTCATATGTATATGAGTCATTTGTTTTGAAATGTAGTGAAAATTGAGGTAAGTCAGTGTATGTATGTATATGTGTATGTATGTATGTATGTGTAGACGAAAGAACCATCGAACATGTTTATGACTCTAGACAATAGTCATGAATGAAAATTGTCACAAATCAAACTTGTCATTATAATATAACCAAAGCTCACAGTAGGGAAAATACAATGGAAATCAATAATATTGTGGTATGAGCTGCTTATATCCATATAAGTAGTATATAACGATATTCAGGAATAGAATGTATTTCAGTAGAAGATCAAGGCAATTGGTATGAAAATACAAGAACAATGAAATTTGAGACGATGGACTGATATTTGTAAAGGGAATAGTCATGTTTGAGACAATTGATTGATATTTTGCAAATTAACTATTATTTACGGTATGGTTCTCAGATTTTAGTAAGATGTTCTGAATATTTGTGCTCAAATACAATCGATTGACCCCAGTGGTGTTACTGTTCACTACAATATTTCAGTAAAGTGAGTAATATATATTATGGAAGTTTACTTGCATTTCAATCAAGTTTTCAACATATAACATATAGGAAGCGTTTCGACAATGTAATGAGAAGTGGTAGGTTGTGAGAATTATGTGATATATTTGTGCAATACATTTCAAACAATTTGAGAAGCATATTTTAGAATTTCAGGAATTTCTTTTTTAAATAATAAGGACAATTTAAGATACATGTTCTTTGATAGTAGTATGTGAGCATATTTTGAAATAAACTAACTCATATTGTTTACAGTAAAAGACTCAATTACTTTCACAAATGACTTTAATTCAACATTAAACTGTCAAGTTTATTTAACAGTTTGTTGTTTCACTTATTAACGGAAGTATTTAAAGTTACTTGTAGAATAATGTACAGTAGTATACGTTCAGAAACTTAAGAATTCCCATGAAATTATATCAGTGTTTTAATTCAAATTAAACTAAAGTGTTATCTAGATGTTATAGCAACTGTCCTATAATCGATTTCCGTTATGGTTAATTTTTGTTAAGCACTTTTATTAACTTATTTAACAGACAATGTTGTTCGAGCAGTAACAACTTATCTATTTCTTTGTACTATTATGATCATTATCTTATCTGTATAAACGTGTATGCTTGATCACATAACAGCCTACGCACATATCTCTGCATAGCCAAAATGTTAATCGCTTAAATATCACTCTATGATTCATCCTTTTCTCCATGTTATATGTACTCAGATCCTATTATTAGCCTTATCCATTCAATTTGACTATAAATTTGCCTCTGTATTCGCTTGCCGTACGCACATTAGTCTTTGTGCTTCAAATTCGATCGATGTAGTTATAACTTTATTGTCTGCGCTATCCGCTAGTAAACTATGGTTGCCGCTTCTTATTGCCTTTTGATTTCAAACACCGTCGGGATTTATACGAAAACGGTTATCAAGGTGATTGATTACCTAAACTAAGCCACTACAGTGTAGTCTGAATGTTACTGAAATGAGTGATTAGGTGACCCGATGGATTAAATAATTTAACCATATTGTTGTACTGGTATTGTTACCAAATATACACCGAAAGTTCAAAAAAAGTATTGACTTATAAACAAATAAAACGTTGAATTAAGTAATTAAAACTGTCAGCATCTGTGTAACTTGTTATGAAACTGGTGCGATCAGAAAAATGTTCTTAATTTGTAAAGTATACTCCGTGATCTTATTGATTTACTTAACAATAGTTACTTACTCATCTCTCCTCATTCTGATGAGTGTTTCACCTGCATAATGTATCGATATGACCATAGCTTACAATTTTCTAATAAAAAATTTTACAAAATTACAAAATATGCATCGTTTTGAGCTATAGACAAAGCAAACAACAGAAAAAGTATCTTTGATACTATTTTTATCAAAGACGACCAGTCCGTCTATTATTTAAATAAAAACATCAAACAAAATTATCACACTGGAAAATAGCGGAACAGGTGGGTAGAGCACTTTGAAGAACTGTTGAATATACCGGCCCCAGTGAACCCACTGGACATCAGAGCAGCATGCACAGACCCTTCAAATAATGTCACTCCATCAAGGATTGAAGAAATCAGGATGGCCATCAGACAAATCAAGAGTGATAAAGCAGCAACATTTGACAATGTACTAGTTTAAACATTGAAGCCAGATATAGAAGTAACTGCAAAATGCAATTCTTCTTTCGTTACATAGATCTGTCTCATATTATTTATCGTTATCATTTTGTTGGAGTGATCCAGAAAATTGCTTGCAAAAGACGAGCAAGCATCAGGAATCACTAAGAAGCGTTTCGTGCAGTCAGCGTTCACTTGGAGTTTTCGCCAAAAATATCAAGGAAGCTAAACGTCACATGCAGAGGGTCTGATTGGCTGGTTGTTACACTGCTACTATGTTTAGTAGCATTCCAGAATCTTCGAGCAACCCTATACCTTCTGTGTTAAAATGAACCTTGGAGTTAACTACTTCTCGCGTACTTTGAGTCTTCTCTCTCGTGTTCAGGTCGCTGTATAGTTCTAGCTTGGGGGCTACAGAATAGCTTAGGAGACGAATATGGCGTTCAATCCTCGAGACTTATCACATTTCACTTACAAAATCTTGAAATAATCAATTAATTCTGAAAGCACTTCTGTGATTCCATATTATTTGGCAGTTATTGAAAAAATTAGTTAGAACTATGCAATTTTCAGTAATTTTTGATTTTATATTTTAATGTAACTAAATAATGACTTTAACCAACATATATCCTTCTAGAATTGTACTTCATCTTTTCTAGATTACTATTTTTCTCTATTGACTTGTTTTTTAACTCGAAAATTCTTGTTTTTTTCCTTAATTATTGATTTAGTACGATTGTCCACTCACTAAATGTCGACTATGATGTCAGCTGCTTCAGGATAGGATAAGCCAATAACGACAACCACAATAGGGTTTTTGGTGGTTTTACCTTTTCTGAGTAGTAATATCTATTAGCAAGTATATCACTCTGGACATTATCTCTGTGAAGTAGACATCGAATCTTTTTCCTAGAATAATAATCTAAAATTTACAATGATCACAATTAGAAGTACTAATATTATGATAAATGATTTGTTAGTAGTTGAGATTATGAATAAATATCTTTAATATGAAATAAGAGATTGTGCACTTTTCAATTGTAGTACTGCATTTGTTTCTAGAGACTTTCATGATTTTCTAAATTAATAGATTTCTAAAAAATGTGTTTACATTTTTGGTGGTTACCACGGGAGGTTTTCGGCATCTATCTTGTACTATTGATGTTCTGAACACTTATTACGTAAATTCCGTTTCTCAGCGTTATTACAACACATATAATCTCAACATATTAAGAGAATTGAACAAATGTAACATATTTAGTCAACCAAACATTAAGAATAGCTTTTGTGTCTCAGCCCGGTACATAGATCATTAGATAAACTTTACTGATCCAAACCTTTTGGTTACATTGTTCATGAAACAAAATTGATTTAAAAGGTGGTTGAGGTTGTCAACAGCAGACTAATTTCAATCATCTTTTATTTAAACAGAGACCATGGATTTCCTAGTCACTTAGACTAATGGTCACATTTCAACTTGACCGGCGGAATTCGATCAGCACTAAAAAGGAACTGTATGATTAGTCACAACTGATTGATCGATTAATTGTAAATACACAATCGATTCAATGACATGAGTTAATATTTACCTGGAAATATATTACTGTTACTATCTTCATTTCTTAATCCTTCTAATCTCCCTATTACATAATGAAAAAATCAAATATTTTTTCTATCTACGTTGCATTGATTCTTAACTCATTATATTGTCTGTATTATTTGAAGAAAAAATTCTTGCTTCAAATTATTGTTTGTTACATTTTAATCAGTAGAAAGATTGTATTCTTGATATTTCGTGACTTAATGCAAGCCGCTTCTTCAATATGAAGTCAAGAAGTATCAGGAATAGAATTTTTTTATTCATTAGAATATAACAAAAACATAATATTTTGGCGCAATTGGGTGGATCAGTTGAAGTTAGACATTAACACCGTTGGATTATGGCCAGCTCAGTGGTCCAGTTGGTTAGGCGCTTAGCGCGAGACTGATAGGTCCTGTGGTTCGAATCTCGTAGGGGCCTGGATCGTAAAGGCGCATTGCTGAGGAGTCCCGTACTAGAACAAAACGGTCATTCAGTGCTTCCAGGTTTTCCATAGTGTTCTAGCTTCAATTGACTCATGATTTCAACCACTGAAATTACTAAATTCTCCACAAAACCCCTTCTGATATTTTTTTCTATTAAATTTCTACCTAATTGAAACAATCAAGTTCAAATTTGGCATTGATACCTAGGAATTTTCAAAAAAAATGTTTAAAAGAAATGCATAAGATATCATTCTATTTGTTTACATTGTATCCATTTTAATTACTGTCCAACAGGGGTATATCTAAGTAAATAACAATTTTATGAGAATATACTCAAACTGGCTTATTGATCTGTTTACTGATAATTATCAATGTAACATTATTTTTAAAGATTTTACTATTTACTAAATAGTATTCCTAATTTGTTTTAATTGTAATTACTGACAACTTTTGGATACATACAATAACAGAAGGTGTCGCCTCGTCTTGTTCTATTATTCTGTTGGCAAGGCTTCATTTTTCAATGATTAGATTATAATTAATTGGAATAATTGATTAATATCCGTTCATTTACATATTCATATACTTAAATATGCTTACTAAAATGATCTAGTTTACATTCAAACCATTTAAGTGTTAATCAAAAAATGTAAATAGAAATCAATAACTAATTGAATGATTATTGGATTATTGATATAGTTATCATGACTACAGTTTTGGTGTCTATACTGATTGATTTATCACTGAAAATTTCTTTCAGTTCTTCATGAATTTAATAATATAAAACACATAGAAATAAGATTTTCAACATTGATATGTTTAAATGGCAAATAATCTGTTAAAATGGATTATTCGGACGAAAAAAATGTTGAAAAATAATAATAATTCATATTGTACAAAGACGTTTATTATTCCGTGGCGGTGTGGTGTAACCATTAAAGTGTTAAAATTTCAGCTGGTTCTACTCCCATTTCACCTACTTTGGTTTTGGACTAGTTAGTATTATCCCTGAACCTCACAGTCAAATTGTGACTTGAAGCTTAGTGCATTAATCTATACTTAAGAAAAATGAATCTTTTAATAATAAACAAAGTAATCAAAGCGATTATAAATATAATTTATTATTGACTGATTATTGAGTACTGGTCGGTGTCATACATGTCATGTCTTCTTTAGTGCTGATCAAATTCTGTCGATCAAGTTGCAATATGGCTACTAGTTTAAGTGACTCGACTTTGGATGCACGACATTTAGGTGCATTTTGGTGATCGGAGGTAATGGACAGGAAACTATGAACCTACGTTTAATGCCATTTGATAGTAAGGTATGTATGTAACCACTAATGCTGCCTGACGGAAACAATTCCGTGCGATTAAACTCAGTAGTCGGGTATGTTATCTCTGAGCCTTCAGGGCCACGACTTGCCTCTTGTATGATGGGAAGCGAAGAAGGACTGAAGATATATGGCATTGGTCGTTACTCAGTGATCAATTAATTGTAAACACATTTCAGTCATACAAGAGGTCAGTCGCAGCCGCGAATGCATGGTAGTGTCATCTCTGTCTGTGATGCTGGGTAATACGAGGTTTCATTGAGATTATAGATATACTTTGCTGTTCCATAACGCTAAACGTAAGTTCAGAGTTTTCTGTCGCCTATTTCCAACCATCACTATAAAGATATAGCTTGAATCATGGACTGAATCTAGTAAGATAACTATTGAAACCAGGAAGCAGTTGACAGCTGATCCGTTTTAGTGTGGGACACAACCATAACGCACATTTACGACCTCAACAGAAACCAAACATAGAACAGTCAAGTCTTGCATCTAGTGCTTAACCTTTAGACCATCGAGTTGCTTTCCACTTATTTGTGTTCCTACACGTAACCAATTCGTAATTGAAAAAATAAAACAAAGAACAAAAATTGTGAGCAATTACTATTTATTTCACATAAATTAATTATCAGTAAGTATTAGATGTGTTGCATAAAACGATTCTAAAATTCCCCAGATCTTAAGTTCGTTTCCACTATACATGAAAAAATTATTTCTCATGGGACACTAGTTACTTCATGGAGCGGGAAATTCAAGATGTCAATGCATTGAAATAAGTTAAATTTCCTTCAGGTCTCACCCAAAAATATAATTTAATCATTTTCCAATTTTGTAAACTACAATAAACACTTTTAAAACATGTAGTGTAATTTAGATATGGATTTAATACATTTCATTCGAAATACAACTTTTAATAAAGATGGTAAACAATAGTAAGAAACTACTTTCCACAATCTATGAACTGATGAGATTGCATTGTTGAAATACTCTTATTTTTTCGAAACGAAAGTGTACTGCGTAATCTTTTTCTTAATCTGATAATTTTAAAACGATTACTTACTTACTCACTTCTGTTACCCATCGTGGAGTAGCATGGGCCACTCACTGGGATTCTATATCGAATTCTGTGACGACGGACCACCGGTGAACTCGAGGAAGCTGTAAGAGGCTCAGAAGGAGCCGAAGACGTTCCATCCAATCACCTGTCGGAAGAATGTTCTAGAATTCCAACGTGTAACTTCCCCATTGGATAATGCTAATAACCCCCTGTACGCGGATTGGAAGACTGTAATGATGATTTCGTTCTCACTAAAAACTATAAATACTTGATAATTTTGTACTATGTTTGACACTGTTCGGAATAATATTCCTTTCGTTAGTCTTCTGTCTTCTTATTGCGACTTGGAAGGGTTTGGTGTTCTAGTGCTCAGTTATACGCGGTTGTATCAAGAAAAATCAGCTTTTTCAAGTTACAACAAATTCTTTCTTGGACAATTCTTTCTGTTTCCAGTTGCTATTCGTCCTTTTGATATCTGCTTTGAATTCTCGGCGCAGTGTTTAAATATTGTATTAAAAATGAAATGTTTCTATTCTTTTATTTTTAGTAATACAACAATTCAAAGGTATAAGACAATTATTAAGATTGGTCAAATTCAACCAATTAATACATCACCTCTTAGAAAAAGTAGTATACTACTAGGTAAACCATTATGGAGTCAACAAGTTATTGAAAAACCACTTGAAGTTCCGCATACATTCGAGTTGAGACGAAGTGCTAAGCCTATTGTTTGTCAAAATTGTCATCGTTTATTACATGGATTATTTCGGCAAGGTTTACAGTGTAAAGGTTAGTTATTACCTACCCACAATTCTATACATTTTTGAACCCGTAATTCTCAGACGTCATCACGTACTGACCATCGCCCTCTTGTATTTTACCGACGTCGATATGCAAGAAGGAATGAGACGTGACTTTAAAATAGAGGTTTTATTACCCAAGATAAGACTGCGTGATTGATAGAATCCACATTGTACAGAATATTGGAGAAGACAGTGTTAGTTCCATGTATTGGCACTTTGAAAAGGTGACAATTATTGTTGTTTTGTGGCAATCGTAAAACACCTTCAAATTCACTTGTTATTTTTTAACCTTTGATCTGACGAAATGCTGAATTTCTAGTGTTATCCTTCGCCTAATGTATTTATCACATAAGCAAATTACGTACAAAGAAAATATGAATTTCAATAAGCTTGTCTCGAAATACAGTTAAGGCATAAAATTTGTGGAAACATAATGTCAGTTTTTCAAGATTTTGTTATTAGACCATAGTTAATAGGTAGTGTAGTAGTAACAACTATAATAATCTAAACAATAATAAACTTAGTGTTAATATGATATGAATTGTTCAGTATGCAGTTATTTAACAGCGTAGACATCTCATTCACACAGGAAATCAGTGGCTGTTTGGACAGCCCGGTGATAACGTCTCAGACTGTGAAACCTAGTGACCCATGTTTGAATCCATCAAGGAATATCATTTTCTTCAGTATTGCATCGTGATGGCGACTTTCAAGTAGCACGAGACCCAAGTTCAGAGCTACCCACCTACCACCTCCAAGCACGTTACATCAAATATATATATATAATTACATATTTTGGTGATATATACGTAACATGTACTGTATTTTTATTTTGGTACTTAGCCATATAATTCCTATTTAAAAACAGTTATTTTAAAGCATACTATCTTCATTGTTTAATTCTGAAAATGCCATTTTATATTATCTGATTATTTTATCGCCTATAAGTAAACTTATCCTTCGATTGCGGAATCAACATCGATCGGGTCGAATACGACAGGCAGAGGTTGGCAGCATTAAACGTTCTCTTTACTGTTCTAGTCAATCTATCCCGTAATACATAATGAAGAGGCACAAAGCTTGAAAAATGTGTGTATTGGCTTGGAGAAGAACCTTGTCTATACACGTCTCTGGTGATAGAACCATTTTCTTTTCTACTTAACAAAACGTCCAGGAAATTTAGTTTGTTATCTATTTCCTCTTCATATGTAAATTTAATAGCAGGATGTTTGTTATTAAATAGTTCTATTAGAATTATAAGTAAACTAACAAAAATCTTTGTGCTTTGTTCATTGATTTAAAAAAAAGACTGTAAATTATGGGTACATAAGAAATGCGCCACATCGATACCGAACAATTGTGATGGTGAACAATTTTCTCAAGAAGACAATCCCATCAAAGGTAAATATGACGGTTTGATTTTTTTAATGCTCTATACTTTATAAAAAGATTTGTTTGTCCGTTAGCGTTTTTAGTTGCATTTCACAGAAATTATGATTAGGTGTTATTTGCTCTCTTTCCAAATTTGATTGTTCACCAAACGAAGCATTGATGATGCCTTAATGAAGAAATAGATAATCATCATACACTTTTAGTAAAAGTCAGTAGTTTTTATATAATTTAGCATTTGTGCAGTCAGCTGCAGTGTTTATTGACAGTTGTTGAACTCTCTTCCTTTCTTATTGAAGAATTGTATAGATAGATCAATACAAAATACTTGGTGACCTGACGAATATTTTGTCTACCTGTTCCTGCCATCTAAATATTTGAACAAGTCATCTGTTTTTGTTTGTTTTAACAAATCATTATGCTTGCACAACTGTTATTAAACACTTGTATCTTCTGGATGATGGCTTTCGTAGTTATCCACGTTTTCGCCTCAGTAGACAGTAGAACTGTCTTGACATTTCTATTGAAAATTATGGATACACTTAAAAAGCCAAGAATATATATATGTAATAGGACCATGAAATGATTGTTCATTATGTACGATAGATTTTTATATTGTTTCTTTTAATTTATCATCTATACTTTTTCTATAAGTAGCCTAGAACGATTGTAAGAAAAAAATACCATTTTACATAAATTAGTCAATAATGATATGAAATAATGATGATGATAATAATAAAGATGAATTTACTAATATATCAGTAGAATTATTCGAAATTAACCTATGCTAGCCTCTTACTGGATACAGACATTAAAAAATATAACTAATTTATGAATTAAATAATATGACTTTTTAATAGTTGAGTTCATAAGCTTATTAGCCCTCTTTCAGGAACACAGGACGCCCAATACCAATGTCTATCGAACTCTGTCTTAGACAATCTCTTCCAGTTGCTTTTTGTGCTTTTTATGTCTGCTTTTAACTTCACATTCAGTGTGTTCTTTGGTCTTCCTCTTATCCGTTTCCCACCTTTAGCTCCTCTAGAGTTCCCAAACTGTTCCCAAGCTCAGGGTTAGCAATCACATCCTGTAGAAAAAAATCCTTGCTAAAAAAACACTAACCAGATGTCATACATTAGTCATACTAAAGATCAGTTATAAGTGAAATAGATGTGTTTTACATTAACAGGAATAGTACAATTATAAATATTATTTATTAAATAGTTCAGTCGGGAACTTTGAGTTAACCAATAGAGGTTGAATATTTCAGTTTGAAATTTATCTTATGTAGTTCAAATATCAGTATAGTGGTACCTATGGTTATATTTTGACTATTTATAGTAATGGTTAAATATAAATTCTAAATCACAACTGTGATCAAAAGAAGTATGATGGCAAGTGTTTTCAATGTTTCTGGGTCTTTATGGATTTATTATTATTTCAATTCTATAGAACATGATAAATCATTATTATACACGTAAACGACGATCTTGTGAATATACATGTTTATTTCTAATAAAAATTGGTATAAAATTTGACCTTCCAATTGTTGAGATATATTTTAAACTATTAAACTATTTTCTCATATTTTTATCTACCCTTTTATAAACCATACTGGTAGATGTTCACTTAATCGTTAGTTAAGTTGCCTGGTAGTAGTTGGCCTCCTCAATGTACATTTATGAATTCAGCTGCTCCTGTCGAGATAGTTATATCGACCGTATTACCAAAAAACTTAAACAACGAATGAATGAACATCTACCGGCATGGTTTATGAAGTGCCAAAAAATACAATACACAGTTCTATTTTCTCATGTCATGTATATTAATAAATTTTATTAAAAGTTTTCATATCTGATTAAAATCATCAACAGGTTTTTAGTAAATATTGAATTAAATGTGTCAATTTAATGAATCTAACTGATATTATTAAATGAAGTATTGAATAAATTTAACACTCCAAAATCATATCAGTCTCTCATGTGAGGAGAAGAAGAACGATCAGCTCCCCTTCCTAGATATACTTCTGAGTAGACGAGAAGATGGCTCAGTCAAGCGATCCATTTTGAGAAAACCAGCGTGGATAGGTCAATACCTTAGTTATTATAATTATTGCCCTGTGCAATATAAACGTGGTTTGATAAGGTGCCTACTCAACAGGCTTGATAGTATTTGTACAAATGTTAAGTTGCTAAATAAAGCATTAATAGAAAATGGCTATCCTCTGAAATTCATAAATAGATGGAAGGTCAATGGTACAACGAGACCTACTGTAGCCTTAGTGAAAAAAAGCCTGTCTACATCACCTTACCATTCAGAGGTGATTCAAATAGCCTTTTATTGCAACAAAGACTTAAATCAACAAAACGTATTGCGCAGCAAAGCTCATTATCAAAGAAAGAACAAGGTGCATGCTTCATGCAAAGACATGAAAGCAATTGTGTCACATCCCACTGTGTTTACCAATTTAAATGTGTGTGTGATCACACATACATAGGGAGGAGCAATCGTGATCTCAAAATTAGGGTTTGTGAACACATACCAAAATGGTTGCAGAAACAAATACAACCAAGTGACCCAATAAGAGCAGAGGATAAACATCCATCATCCTCTATTACTAAACATATAATTGAAACAGGCCATAAGATTGATCTAAACTCGGCTTTTGTGGTTTTGTATAAAAGTGTAAAAGGGCGTATACTAAGGTTTATTGAAGCCTTAGCCATACGAAAATTCAAACCCCCTTTGTGTGTTCGAAAACTGTTTGTTCTTACCTTAAACCTACCCTGGTAATGTTGACTAATTCTCAAGAGTGATTAGGTTTCGAATCGTGTTCAGATTATTGTTACTCTTATTGTTATTATCCTTATCTCCTCTTACACCATTTCCAGTCTATTTGACCTTTTATTTTTATAGATAAATGCTCTTAGCAAGTATATGTGTGATCAGATTGTTCGAAATGTATTGCGCTAATACATTACATAATTCTGATAATCTTCGTCTTCTTATTACATTATCGAAATCATACAAAAATCTAATGAGATGTGAATACTTTAATCACAAAAAGGATAATTGTAGATTATTAAATGAGAGAAGTCATTCTATGGAATCATAGAAAATAATCAGAATTTATTTTTAACTAACTTTTGAAATATTTGGGAGAATATTTGATATAAATAAATTTTAGCAACATCATAATCTTTTTATATTATTGTTTTTACTGTTCTACATTTCGAACAATCTGCTCACACATATACTTGTTAAGAACCTAAGGTTTATCGAAACCATGGCTATCCGGAAATTAAAACCCCTTTTATGTGTTCAAAAAACAATTTGTCCTTACACTTAACCTACCCTGGTAATACTGATTTATTATCCAGAGTGGTAATCACATTCGTTTTTGTGTATTTTATTATTTTTCCTTTGTTATGACTTACCCCTAACCTGTCTAGTTGACCTTTCAATTACTGTTCTACTTCAAATGAAGTTTTTAATGTTTACTATGTGAATACAGAAATAAACTTCCGCAATAATGTTAATTTATATTTTTAGTTTAATAATTTTCTACAAATAAATATTCTAACCAGAGAGTGGTTTTGTGGATATTATCGTAAGTTAATAGTTGAATTCATAAGTCAATTGAAACTAGACCACCATGAAAAGCCTGGAAGCACTGGACGACCGTTTTATTTTATTGTAGGACTCCTCAGCAGTGCGCACCCACGATATCGCCTCATGATATTTGAACCACTGGACCTATCAGTCTAGCGGGCGAACGCTTAATCTGTACACCATTGAGTCGATATCCAGTGGTGTTAATGTCTAACTTCAACCAATACAAGAAGTTGTGCCACCGTCCACCATTGTCATCAGTGAGTTACTTTCTCACAACTGAATCTGGACTATTTGTTATTTGATACTTGTCAATAAAGTGTATCTGAAATTGCTGAGAGAACTGATGCTTCCTAACGAATTCGATCTTAAGTCACCCGAATCAACAGTCTAAAATATTATTTTTGAGGCATTCGAGGCTTCTGTTGACCTCTTATAAAACTAAGAGATATTTACAATTGACTGACTACTGAGTAGACTAGTGATATTTATCTAACCCTATAATAATGATCAAATTCTATTGCACAAATATGATCGCTAGTTTAAATGACTTGATCAAGGCTAAAGGAATAGATAAGGATGACGTTGTTCACTCGTTGATGATACACCAGTTATAAACAATCCAATTCATTAGACTGGAGTTTTGATAAAAACTTTTAATATAAGATGGAAGTTGTAAAAACCTTTCAGTTTCAACTAATATAGTGCTTGTAAGCAAATAAATAACTGACTTATGGAGGTAACACTGTCTTTAAGAAAATAAAAAGTATGAGTTGTGTTGTATTTATAGCGATAAAAATAACAACAATGACAGGGCATACTCAAACAGCTTTATCCCATATTTATTAGCATCAAGTTTAAAGGTCGCTTCTCATTTGTATATCAAGTTCAGATTAGTAAACCTAAAGACTTAAGATTACACGTAATAGTTATAGCTGAAATATTTAGCACCAACTTAGTGAAATCTGACTTATACATAGAAAAGAAATATGTTTAATGCTTTTATTCACCTTGAGTCATGATACAGCTTTTCTATTCTTAGTCTAATCTTGTCAGTACACCTTAGGAAAATTAGTTCCTCACTTTACATATCATTACGATTTGTACTCCCTCATATGATATCTTCTTATTCATAATTATAAACTTATCTTTCTTATTTTACATGTTACTCTCCTTAATGACAATAATAATAATAATACCAATAATAGTAATAATAATTGTCATTCTTTCTATTCTTATTATTATCACATTGAACACAACATAACGATACCTATTTTATATCAAAAGCTTTACATAAAAAATTTCAATTTATTGATCAGAACTAAAATAACATGGTAAGCGAACAATGTTGATTTCAATTAGATCTTGATTAGGATTAGGAATGTATTCCAACTTACAAT